ATTCTTCATACATAAAATTTCATGTCGGAACCCAGGAACAAGAGGAAAAGGACCAACCCCAAACTGCAGTAGGTATCCCTTCTGTGGATCCTCTTGCCCCTGTTTATCCATCATGACATTTAAACAGACTGTATTGTAGTTCTCTCTTTGTTTCCTTGACTCCCATGTTAGACTGAAGGCTTCTCCACAAAGCTGAGGAAGGTTTTCTCCCCCATTGTATCCCTCATGCCCAGCACATAGTAGCCACTGAAATATTTGTTGAATAAATGAAGGACGAAACATTTCAGGATTTTTCCTAATAGAATCTCAGGCTACTCTAGGGGGTTCAGATGTGTTTGAGATTTCCTTTTTTTTTTTTTAAGATTTTATTTACTTATTTGACACAGAGACTGAGAGAGCACAGCAGGGGGAGAGGCAGAGGAAGAAGCAGGCTCCCCGCTGAGCAGGGAGCCCGATGCGGGGTTCGATCCCAGGACCCTGGGATCATGACCTGAGTCCAAGGCAGATGCTTAACCAACTGAGCCACCCAGGTGCCCGTTTGAGGTTTCCTAATGCTCCTCCTGGGTGCCTTAGAACGTTGTCCTAAGCAAGCCCAAAGCAGTTGCCAAAGGAGAATGATACACAGAACCAGGTCCCCTAACTCAGGCCCCTCTGCTGGAACTCCTGGATGGCCCCAGACCTCCGGATTTTCAGATTGTGGGCAAATGCCTCAGCACCCACTGTTCATTCTCTCCCCGGGGTTACCTGTATTTTTAGATGTTAGCCCAGGAAAGGGAGGGATAAATGAACTGTCTGGGAACCAACTGAGATGCTTTGCCAGGTTCGAGTCAGGTGTTTTTCACTCATCTCACTGGAGAAAGAAGACCAAGGAGGAGGCTTTGGGTGGGCTCTGGCTCCCATCCCAGCTTTACCCAGAGCAGCTCCGCTGTGCTGTGTATGGTGTGGAGTTCTACTGCCTGAGTGATCACAGGAGCCCCTTCTCTTAAAACGGACCGCGGATCGTCTCTCCTCACTGGCTGCCAGGCTGTGGGCACGGCATGGCATCGTGAGCTCAAAGGAGGCCGTGCAAATGGGCCGTTTACCCCCGTCATTGGGGAACCGGTCAAAAAGCAAACTAAAGATGGCTGTCTAGTCAGTGAGGCCAAACCACAGCCTTAGGCTTGAAAAATGTGGAAAGTTCCTGGCAAGGGGCTGGGACCAGCTGCAGGAGAAAGTCTGCACAGATACTGAGCCAGGAGACGCACAGAACAGAGCTCAGAGTCAGAATGCTGCGTGTCTACAGACTGGAGAGGTGTTTATGTCACGTGCGTATCTCTGATAGGAGCCATCTCAAGCCAAGACGAAGGGAGACCAGTAAGTCCTGGGGTCTGAGATGAGGGAGGCATTTGCCTCTGTTCTGCCTGCATTCCTGCTAGGCAGAAGCCTGGTTGGCGGGTCAGAGTGCGCCTGCGTGGCCAGAGGCTCCGAGCCAGGCCTGCCTTTTCCCTTGACACGGAGGACTAAACATTGAGGACCCGGGTCCACATAAGCTCATGGAATTTCAAGGGTAGAAGGGATGTTAGAATTACCTGAGCCTCTCTGCTGCTTGAATCCCCCGAATAACAGTCACAAAGTGAACACTTGCTTAACCACTCCCTGTGAGTGGCCACGGCTGGCCCTAAGGAACCGGTGGCAAGACTGGGAGCAGGCTTTAAGCTCCTCTCGAGCAGAGCCCCTTGCCCCACAATGACTAGCTACTGATGCCTCCCTTCTAAAGGCCTTTGGAACTGGAAAATTCTTGCCCTGTGAAATGTATGTATCAAGCTATAATGGACCCAGATTTACTTTGCACGCCTTTCTGCTCCATTTTGTCTCTGCCTTTTATTTGAATTTGCAGATGGCTTGCTAATTGACTTCTGTATGTAACCAATATCATGGCTCATCCCAGTTCCCATCCAGCACAGGTGGTAAATTGCCAGGTTCTTGGCAAAACTCACAGAAGGCTCCCATGTACAAAATTTGGAGGAGGACATCACCCAGGAATGAGGCCAGAGTCCCAGTGAGGGTGGATGATGCCTACTAGCTCTTCCAGCAAATTCCTCTTCCCCTCCTGCCCCACCTTGTCCTACCTGAAAAGGGAAGCCTTATTTACTCTTTTTTCAAATTGCTAGGTGTCCTGAATTTCTTGCCCTTCTTTTCATCCCTACTCTAGGTGGTTAGGGAAGGAAAGGGAGAGAAGGAACCTCATGGTTCTCCTTGCCTCCTTGGCCAGGAAACATTCTGCCAAAGAGTGAAGACCCTAAAAAGCGATTACACTCTTAGGTATATATGCCAAAGAATTGAAAACAAGTGTTCAAACAAAAACATGTGCAGAAAAATTCACTGAAGCACTATTCACATAGCCAAAAGGTAGAAACAACCCAAACATCCATCCACCGATGAATGGATAAGCAAAATGTGGTATATCCATACAGGATTTTTTTTTTTTTTCAGGACATATGAGTTTAATTGCCTACTAGACCATCCAGATGGAAATACGCGGTAAATGAATGGAAACCAGAGTCACAAAATTAGGAGAGAGGCAGGCATTTTAGACCAGTTTAGGTTTAGACATTCACCAGGTTGGACTTTTTTTTTTTTAAAACATTTAAAATAAAACTTCTTACCACAATAAACAGAACAATATATTAAAACTGACTTCCAGAATTGTCCAAATTATTTTAATCACATTTTTTTTTCGCATTTCTTTAAATGTCACGTCTTCTTTGGCAAATTTGTTCAAAATACTAAATTTTCATTTTATAATTTAGTTTATCTAGTAGAGTGCCTCTACATTGATGGTCGTCAGGGTACCTTTCTCTAAGCCCTAATGGTTTATATCTTCCCTTTAAAATGTGTTAGTATCTTTAAAAAGTGTATAAATATCTTTTAATTACGTTATCATTTTCAAAGAAATCCTAAGGAGAAAAATTATGAATTAAACACCTGTAAGTTCTTCTTCCTTTCTGCTATAGTATAGCAATCGGTCATCTAACCCATAGTGGCCTAGCAACTGAGCAAGGCTGACTGAGTCTTGTCAATTGCAACCGATTGCCCCTCATAAAGCACCAGCTGACTGCAGCTTCTCCACTTCTTTTCGAGCAACCCTGTAACTGGCCCAAGTCATTCTTCGGTCTATACATTATGCTAGTTTTGGTCCCCGAAGAAGGTCTTCCTTTTCCTGGACCTGCTTCACCAGTTTTGCTTGTTCTTCATTTAATCCGTGTTTGGGAATCCTCATTCACAAAATCGTTTTGGAGACCACTGCACGACCCAGGATCAAGTGCGTAGATTCACATAATTTTATGGAATATGTACTTTCTTCACATTCACGATCTGTGTGTTTAAAATGTTCTTAAAATTCCAAACAGTTTTCTTCCGGTGAAGATGCCGATTTCCTTGAAAAGTTCTGATAGTCTTCATTCTCTAAGACATTTTACTATGCTGTAACAGGGATTAAATGAAGATCTTGTTTTCCTTCCTTATTGTTTAGGTGTTGCCCTTACAGGTTTTTCTCTTGAACTGCTTGTGTGGGGAGGTGCTGGATCAGCACGGGCCTGGGGAGTGCTCGGTAAAGTCTCAGCTGAGCTTGACGCACTTTCCATCTTGGAAATGAAATCTCAGTTTTGCCTCTCCCTGAGCCGGCGCAGAGAGTGCTGAAAGCCCACCCAATATTATCCATTATTCCATAGCTATAAAAAGGATTAAAGTGTTGATACATGCTACAACGGGGATAAACCTTGAAAACATTTTGCCAAGTGAAAGAAGGCAGACATAAACGCCATTTAGTGTATGATTCCATTTATTTTATTTATTTTTATTATTATGTTATGTTAATCACCATATATTACATCATTAGTTTTTGATGTAGTGTTCCATGACATATGATTCCATTTATATGAAATATGGAGAATAGACGAATCCATAGAGAAAAAAGCAGATTAATGGTTGCCAGAGGCTGGGTCTGGCAGAGAAAGGGAGTAACAGCTAATGGGGGTTTCCTTTGGGGATGATGAAAATGTTCTGGAACTAAATCGTGGTGATGGTTGCACAATATTGTAAATCTATTAAATTCCACTGAGTTTGACACTTTAAAATGGTTACAGTGGTGAATTTTACCTCAATTAATAAAATAAAGTGAGGAAGACCAATCAACACCCCAGGGTTGAAAGAGGGGGAAGGGAAAAATCTGGAATCTAGAACACTTCTCTGAGTTTAGTTTCCTCATCTGTACCGTGGTGGTAATAATGCCCCCGTCCCCCCAGCCGGCATGAGTAATGAGCACGAATAAGCGTTACATAAACACTTAGCACTGGAGGCACTCAAAGTCAATGTTAATTGCCTTCTTTGCTATGTAAGTATCTAAACCTATTTGTCCCCTTTATACCTTTATTTCTTATGACCCTACTGTTTGGCTCCAGCCAGCCAATCTGTTCTTTACAAGGGCTCCTCCCACTTCCTCTCCCTGCCTTTGGCTGGCTATTCGACCATCTGGAGGTTGTCCTGCCTCCAGTGTTAAAGGCCAGGAGGGTCGCTAGGCCACTGCCACAGAATCACTTAAGAGCTGATTTTGTGAGACCCCCTGCTGAATCAGGGTTCAGGGGAATCTGGTGTCTGTATTTTTAATAAGTGCTCTAGGTGATGATCATGCATATTCAAGTTGGGGACTACTGTTTTAATTTATACCTGTCTTTACCATCTTTTCCAGGAAGTCTGCTCAGACTCCTCCCCTAAAAAGCCCTCTGATTAGCCAGAGTGCTCCTTTCCTGTGTCTGAGGTTCTCAGGGTCTAGGCCAAAGTCAGCTTGGGTTCAGCTGGGTCTGCTCTCTCCCTGCAGACTGGGGGACTCCCAGGGACAGATGTTTGGCCTTCTCTTTCCTCTTGTCACCCTGGTTCCTCCTGAGTGTAGGTTCTCCTGGGATGCTGTAGGAAGGCAAGACACTTTAGTTTTAAAGTCCTTAGAATCCTGCTTACTTCTACAGATATTTGAGAGAACTTAAGATTCGCTCTCTTCCTACCATTGTCCTCCTGACTTTTTGAGATGATATAGAAATTGTATTACTGTGTCACATCAGCCTTTGCTTTTCCTGTCCCATGTCATCCCACAGATGTGCTAGGTGTGGGCCGGCCCCCACCCCACCCTGACAAGTGACCATGGATCCTGGAGCCGGGCCAGAGTCATCTCTGACTGTCAATGAGCAGGTATATGCTAGGGCAGGAGGGGGCGGGGGGAGTGAGGGTCATGGACCCCAGGGTATGGTCAGGAGGAAGACTCCACAGAGCCTGTCAGTATCTGTTTCTTACCAAAATTCTTGGTCACTTCACTCATCCAGCTATAGTTACCAGCTAGGATTTCTCAGGGGCTGAGTTGGGGGATTTAAGCTGTGACTTTTTTTTTTTTTTAAGATTTTATTTATTTATTTCAGACAGAGAGAGAGGGCATGAGCTGGGGGGGAAGGGGCAGAGGGAGAAGCAGACTCCCTGCTGAGCAGGGAGCCCCATGTGGGACTCCATGCCAGGACCCTGAGATCATGACCTGAGCCGAAGGTAGACACTGAACTGGCTGAGCCACCCAGGCGTCCCTAAGCTGTGACTTTAAAAAATGAAATTAAAATATACAAAAATGTATGGGGCACATGGCTGGCTTGGTTGGTAGTGCATGTGACTCTTGATTTTGAGGTCGTGAGTTTAAGCCCCACACTGGGGTAGAGTTTACTTTTAAAAATAAATAAAAATTTAAAAACATATATACAAATATGTATATTTTTATGTAAGGAAAGATTTGGACATCACGTAATTTACTCTCTTTTTTCGTATATATATTTTATAATTTTTTTGTAGTGAACGTATTTATTACATCATTTTTTAAAAGAAAAAAAAGACTAATATCTCTTAAAATGTAATTGGACTGAAGTCCCTCATAGGTCAAGTTTGCATCAGAAAGGGAACTGCTTTTGGAAGTTTATTTCACTCATACTTCCCTGATGGGTTGCATTGTCACTTTTTCCGGCAGTCTCTGGCTGGATTCAATTTTCAGGCCTCAGGACTGTGTTGTGGGAGTGCCTTCGGGTACAGGCCAAGTGCAGGGGAGGCCCGACAGAGCTTTTGCATATACAGAGTGGCCCGGAATCTTGAATGGCCCAATTCAAAGTGCTGGAGGTAAAGAGCGCAGGAGCGCTGGCTGTTTGAGCAGAAGACCACCAAGTGTTCTAAGGAGGCCTGCGGGCTGCCTGCACCGCTGGGCTGTGGAAGCCCCCCTCCAGGTTGGAGCATGCCCACAGGTGGCACGACTGGACCTGCAGGCCCACGGGGTCCAAAGCTCCAGTCCAGGATTCCTGACCCTTGTTTCAGGAAGTTAGCTCGCAGGGGAATCTTGGCCTTTACCCCAGGGTTTTAGAAATAAAGGAATCAAGAGCTTAAAAAGTTCCTCAACATTGTGGAGCATTTTCCACCCCTTTATCTTTGAGGGAACTTCTATAAGGTTTTGTGTGTGTGTGTGTGTGTTTAAAGATTTTATTTATTTATTTGACAGACAGAGACACAGCGAGAGAAGGAACACAAGCAGGGGGAGTGGGAGAGGGAGAAGCAGGCTTCCTGCTGACCAGGGAGCCCGATGCGGGGCTCGATCCCAGGATCCTGAGATTATGACCTGAGCCAAAGGCAGGCGCTTAACGACTGAGCCACCTAGGCGTCCCTCTCTAAGGTTTCAAGAGAAGTGAAGAGGGATTTGCTTCTTGGCCCAGCTTAGGCTGTGGATACCGTGTTAGGGGCCTCCATCACCACACTCCAATATCCATCAGCTAAGAGGACACCCTGGCAAAGCCGTGGGATAGGCCACTTACCACTCCCTGAACCGAGTCCAAGAAGGGGGGCAAATAGAAATATCCCCAAGCGGTTTGGCTCTGTGGGGCTTTTTTCAGCACATGTCAAGCCCTTCCCCTGTCACCAGGCCCCCAGTTCCTTTCCGAAGCTCCTTGCCTGGAATCAGGGAGCTGCAGCCTGCCCCAGGCTGTGGAATTGCCACAGAGCACGCCGCCTTCAGGCAGGAGGTCCAAGTCTTGAAGTGCGCTCTCCGCTCTCCCCCAGCCAAACCCAGAGCTCTGCTCCCCAGGGCTAGACCAGCCGCTCCGCACCAGCGAAGTCCCCTGTGCTCTGTTTGCAGGTCATCGTGATGTCAGGCCACGAGACCATCCGTGTGCTGGAAGTTGGAGTGGACGCCCAGATCTCTGCCGAGGAGGAGGGCAAAGGGCTGGAGGGTGTGGCTGCTGAGGGCTCCCAGAGCAGAGACCCTGGCGAAGCTAGTGAACCTGCTGGTGAAGCCGGGCCAGACAACCCAGACTCCTCTGCAGAGGCAACTGGTACGAGGCCATCAGTCCCATCTGGCATTGCACCACCTGAGTCCCTTTCTCTGGCTCCTTGGAGAGCCAGCATGAATCCCTGGGGCCTCGGTGGCCTCAGGGTCTTGCTGTCTTCCTGTCCACTGGACAGCCTCTGGCCACAGCTATCCTGCTCAGCTGCTAAGGCTGTCCTGCCCTCCTTGTCCCTGGAACTCTAGATCTGGTTTCAATCACTTCCACACCTAAACTGGGATGGGTCATGGTGTGGTGGGCAGAGAGAGGCAAGGCTCAGTTGAGGGGATTGAATTCACCTCAGAGAGGGAGGGCTCCAGATCTCAGCCAGACCCTCAGGCCCAATGCAGAAAAGACTAGACCTTTAGGATCCTGACAGCCCTTCCAACTCAGTACCTTTGGTGGTGGATCTGGGAGGTCCCAGCAGCTGGGGGTAGGGGGGCATGTTACCTACCCTGGACTAAGGGTGTGGGTTAGGTGGGACCTTATAGAATCTGAGCTCCTTACTCCCAGCTGGGCTGCTGTGAGTCACGCCAGCTGGTCTTATTTGTGCTGCCCTCTAAAGACACTTTAGGGCAAGAGTTTGATTCTCCTGTCCGGGGAATGGAGAGAGATGATCCACCCACACGGTCTCTCCTAATTACCCTGCAGGATAGCTGTGATACAACCGGGGCTGTCCTAGAGCCTGGGACTGGTGTCAGGCATGGCTCTCTGGCCGTGCGGCACCCTCTCCTGGACTTGACTCACTGATACCTTGCAGAGTAGACATCTTTTCCTGGAAACCTGGGACCTCCCTAGTCAGTCCCCCCAGAACGCCACGATTCATCTCCCCTAGGCTACTGCTTATCTTCCCTTCCCTAGATTGGAGATCTGGGCTGATGGGGGTGGGCCCAGAGGAGGAGCCAAGAAGAGAGCAAATGAGGAGAGGCTTTAGGGAAAAAGAAAACGGCAAGGCTCCCTTGCCGTATCCCTTGCTCTACCCACAAATCAGTGTGCAGATTCATTTGGGACCCTAGTAACCCCGGGTCATTTTTTCTCCTTTTGAATAAAGGAATGGCAAGAGACGTGACCATTCTCCCCTAGCCTGGAAATGCTCTGCTCCGTGTTGAAGCTAGGGAGGGTATCGGCCTACTCCTGTGGGGGCCGTGCCCTGGAGAGCAGGCAGCCGAGACAAGGATGTTACATCTGGCCCCCCTTCTCATTCCCTTCCATGGTGGGGATGAGGCCCCTTTTCAGGAAATTTGGGAGGTATCCCAGGTTTATCCTCATTTCCCTTTTTACTCTTTTTTTTTTTTTTAAGAGAGAGAGGTGGAGAGGAGGGAGAGAGAATCTTTTTTTTTTTTTTTAAAGATTTTATTTATTTATTCATGAGAGACAGAGAGAGAGAGAGAGAGAGGCAGAGGGAGAAGCAGGCTCCCAAGGAGCAGGGAGCCTGATGTGGGACTTGATCCCAGGACCCTGGGATCATGACCTGAGCCGAAGGCAGACGTTTAACCATCTGAGCCACCCAGGCGCCCCAGGGAGGGAGAATCTTAAACCGGATCATGCTCAGCAAGGAGCCCAATGTGGGGCTCGATCTCAGGACCCTGAGATGGTGACCTGAGCCGAAATCAAGAGTCGGACGCTTAACCGACTGAGCCGCCCAGGCACCCCATCCCTTTTTACTCTTTAATCTGTCTTCCATATCTCATTTCTTCTGGTGCCTTAATTCTGTTCCTTGTCCAAACCTGCTCTCGGAAATGGATCCTAAATCAACTATTTACACGTTAGCATGAGTGTTTATGGTAGTGTACATCATCTTCCAGAGGTTTGTATATTTAAGCCTTTCACGAAAGTCCTATTCTCTGGAAGGGAAATTCTAGTTATCATCAAGAAGGTAAGGGAGGCATTTCGATGTACCTCCTAAGAAGCTGCCAACTTAGACTGTGGCCTTGCAATCTTTCTAGGTACGCAATATTACGAAGAGTTTCCTCTTCAAACAAAACTAAGTAATGGGAAACTTTTTCAGGATGAAAAAGCTCGAGTGATTTATATCACTCTAAATTACTACCCAGTCCTTGTCACGGTATGTATCTTTATAGTTGTGGCCACCAAGCGTAGACTGTAATAGGACACTTACCACCATATTATTCATAGGCCCATTTCCTTTATTGCCATAGATTCACACACCTGAGTCTGGGTTTGGCTATTGTCAAACTGTCTGGTTTTTCACTGTCATAACCGGTAGTGCTTTGAGTGCCTTTGTACTGGTCCTTTGAAAATTTGTTTTTTCCTTTGAGGTATTGTCCACTCGAATTCCTTTTGAAGAGAAATCAATTGTGTACATAGGAGGAAGTCATTACATGAAAAATACAAAATCTGTCAATGAGAGGACAAGTAATTGGCTATAAGGTACCACATGCCTGTTAAGCCAGAAAAATAAACAGTGACAAAACCTAAATTGGGTGGCACTTTGGAGAAATAGGAACATTATTGACTGTTCTGTGAATTGGTTCAGTCTCTGAAAAGCAGTCTTGCAGGAAGGGACAAAAGCCCTAAATGTTAGGCAAACCCTTGGACCCTGGGTCCTACTTTGGAAATAAATCCTAATAAAATGAATATGTCCTTTCTTTAGATGGTAAGCTTTTCTCATTCGTGTTCATCACATTCCCATTTTCCCACTTTCCTTTTTTTAAATTTCATAAAATTTTGTCAAGCAAAATCTTTTTTAAATTTTCATAGATTCAGGGGTGCCTGGGTGGCTCAGTCGTTAAGCGTCTGCCTTCGGCTCAGGTCATGATTCCAGGGTCCCGGGATCGAGTCACGCTTCGGGCTCCCTGCTCAGCAGGAAGCTTGCTTCTCCCTCTCCCACTCCCCCTGCTTGTGTCCCCTCTCTCGCTATGTCTCTTTCTGTCAAATAAATAAATAAAATCTTTAAAAAACAAATAAATAAATAAATAAATTTTCATAGATTCAGAGTATCCTTATGTTCTCTGATTTTTTTCAGTAGTTAGAACTGCATTTCCCTTCCACAGTGGAGATGAACCTGCCATTTTGTTTTCTGTTTGAATTTTATTTTATTTTTTTATTAAGATTTTATTTATTTATTTGACAGAGAGAGAGACAGCGAGAGAGGGAACACAAGCAGGGGGAGTGGGAGAGGGAGAAGCAGGCTCTCCGCTGAGCAGGGAGCCCGATGTGGGGCTTGATCCCAGGACCCCAGGATCATGACCGGAGTCGAAGACAGATGCCCAATGACTGAGCCACCCAGGCGCCCCCTGTTTGAATTTTAGAAGGCTTTAGTTGTTGCCTGTTTGTCTCTTTAATTCCTTAAACAATTGGATTTTTTGTCCTTATATACTGTGAACATTACAGTCCTGAGTTAAATTGCTGCCTTTCCAGATTAAAACGGGCTGGGAACGCAGGGTTGGAAGGTTATCTGATTCAGTGGTTCCCACTGTGGCTGCGTGCTGTATCACAAGAGAGCTTAAAAGAAAGTAGAGGGAGAGGAGAGGTTGCTGGCCTCCACTCCCGGCCATTCCCATTCAGGAGGCCTAGATTCGGGCCTGGAAATCTGTGCCCAGCCAGTATTAAGAGGCCACCAATCTGGTCTAACCTCCATCACCCCATCCGTGGTCTTACCATGTATTAAATAATAACCCCTCTCCTCATGGTTGTGTAGCTTTGAAGAGGTTTCCTGGTGGGGTCCCCAATACCTGACTAAGTCGGAAGCTGTAACATGGGTGAAAAACTCCGGTTCACAGGAGGTTCCTTTAGAAGCTCAGCGAAGCTCCTCTTCTGGACCTCAGCCCTTAGGCACTGGCAGAGAAACTCTGCCCAGCCTGGAGTGCCCCTGGGTTCCAGAGTCCAGTTTTCAGGGCTGTCACTTCAAGGACTTCCCCCTACAGGAATCCTCGGAGCTTTGCCCCAGGCCAGCACCTGCATCCAAAAAGAAGCCTGCAGGTAGCGTGAACAATGATTCCGCTGCCGGATGAGCCAAGGGAAGTTGCTCCCATCGGTTCTAGCTCCTTCCCTTGCTGCCACACGTTCACTTCAGGCCCTTCTACTGATGATGTGATAGGTCACCGTGTCCTGCGGAGCCGGGAAGTGAGAGACTGAGAGCCAGCTGCGCACAGGCCTGCATTTTCTTCAACTAGAGGTGGGAGGAGGGTAGCCTACCTTGCAGGTCTGGCACAGGGCTCCCCAGCCTCCTGTTCTCACGACCGGCAGCACTGGGGGAAGCAGTCTCCCCGGGGCCAGGGAAGGCCAGTGATTGGCCTTGGGTTATGCAGAAACAGAGTGTGAGGCTGAGAGTTGCCCCCTCAGGCTGCAACAAGCTGCTGTACTCCGGTGACCCCTCCGCACGTACCAGGCTCACTCCTTGTCCTTTCTCTCCATGCCACGTGAAGTGAAGTCTCTGCCGGGGATCCCTCCGAGCCCTGCCCCTGCTGTTGCCACCTTCAGCCAAGCCCCCAGCCAGCCTCAGGCCTCGCAGACCCTGGCTCCATTATCTGTACAGGCTGCCCCCCAGGTAAGGGCCCCCCCGGGGAGCTGAGCAGAGGGCCCTGGGCAGGAGCAAAGCGTGGGACAGCCAACGTGGGCTGGCCGCGGGACCTGGGAATTTCACGGGAAGAACAGGGAAGGGGCTGCGGCTTGGAGGAGGGACGCCCCCCTACTAGGCACCCCTGGCCTCTCCCCTACCCCAGATCAGGCCCACTGGGAAAATCAGATGTGTGCTTGCCAAGTCGTATCCCTGGGTCCAGCGAGGACTGTAGGTAGGGAGAACATTAACTCTTTCGTGCCACAGGTGTCTCTGTTTATCCCATGACTAAATGAGGGGATGCCCTTGTTAGCCCCTCCAGTGGATGCCTGGCAGAGTTAATGGATTGTTCAGAGTCCTCATTTAGAGCCAGGGGGGAGGCCCAGGGCAATGAGAAGCTGCCTCCCTATCCCCCAGCAGTGCTGCGCTCCCTGTGGCCCTTCGCTCCTGGCACAGATCTGCCAGGCATCCGGCAGGGGAGTATCCTCCATCAGAGCTGCCCAGAGGCCTCTGTAGGCCCTCGACTACGTGGTACCACCAGCCCCCGCCCCTGCTTCCCCTTGGCTGTGCTGTGAGCAGGGCCAGGCCCTGTCTCCAAGAGGGGCAGCTTCTCTGAAGGCAGGCTCGTCAGGTCCAGGCACCCCCTCAGGGTTGGGCCTCCGGCTAGGGCTTGTCTCTTCCCCACCCTCATGTGGCC